CTGATGGATATCTCAAAACTTCCATGGAATATTATAGTTTCATAAAATTCTAGCCCGAGGAGCCCTGAATACCCCACTGAAGATCTGGGCCATTAGCACATAAGATAACTGTATATATTCTGTAGTCTTATAAAGAGTGGACCCTTGTTTGTTTATGCCCTATATTTCTTTTGAACCAGAACCCTTAAGAATTCACATAATGGATCTTTCACGGTAGGTCCATACTAGAGGGATTTCTAGTCTGCATCTATGCTAGTGAGGTACTTGCAAGACAGACCAAAGAAACTATCAACTCTTCTAGTTTTAACCAAAATCAGGCAATTCTTGATCTCTCTATGGGTTGCTGAAATTAGGGCTTTGTTTTAAAGTTCTGTGAAATTTATAATGAACAAGGACTAAGACCCCAAAAGAATATTAAAATAAACATTATTTACTGTTGACATTTCAAATCAAGTACTTTCAAAAGTGAATGTTTAAACATTTCTTATCATAAAAACATGTATTCCCTAAAGAATAATCAAAGGCTCTTGAATTTAATACATAAGAAACTACAAATATGTTAATACATGTAGTATCAGTGAAAATATCTCAATGCTATAAATAATGATTGTCATTATATTCCTTTGGTACAAATAGAATCAAAGTGTTCCCTTAAAAAAAACCGTATTATAGGAAATGGAAATTTACTTTTGAAATCTGATCCAAATACAGTAAATGCAGATCCTCCCTTGAATATACTTTGAATAAGACAACACTAAAGAAGTCTGAATAGAAACCCCACCATATGTCGGTGCTAAATAATTTGTTTAGATTTGAAAAACAAATCTCTAAATGGGCATCATCTGTCAGTTCTGGGTTGAGGACAGATGTGGGGTTGGAGGGAAGATTCTGATGCTGCTGTGGAGAATGAGAGGTGATATTCGAGTCGGGGCAGACTGGGCATGAGAAAATCCAGGAACACTTTCCAGTAAAAGGGAGGAGGCAAAAGGTCAAGGTCAGATGGTGGGAATTCCATAGGATTGGACAAAAGTTTTTCAAGCTTTTGATTATCTGATAGCTAGCTGCCTTCTTGAAAGCCTCTCTCCTGGTCTTCACGACACCGCACTCTTCTGGTTCCTGTCCTGTTTCTTTGACCATCCTTTCGGTATCTGTGGTTTCAAACTGATACCCACATTTATTCTGTGATGATTTCATACCTAGATGTCCAACTGCTTGGTAGATGTCTCTAATTAATGTCTTGTCAATGTATTCCAAACAGAAGTAATACTTCTACACTCTCCCCAATCTACTGCTCCCTTCCAGTTGTCATTGCCACATTACTTAACTTCAACCAGAGTCGTATTTCATAGTTCTCCTTCTCCCCCCCACTTCTGATCAGTTATAAGCTCTCATGGCTTCTATCACTGCTTGGAAATAATGTCTGCAATGCCTTGACCACCCCTCCTGCCATCACACTAATACCTCTCATCTAGAACTCCCATTTCCTACTGGTTTCTAGTCGAAGATTCATTCCTAAGAATGGACCTGGGGTGGGGGGTAAGGTTCCTACTGTTAACTAACATTTGACAAATGCAGCATACATCACTTTTCTCTTGACCAGCCATAATACACTTTAGTGTATGACTGATATTTCTCAGAACCGCTTGTCCTGGGGCTCTATTTTCATATTACATTCATCAACATCTAGTTATTCACTTAGTGTATTCCAGAAAACACACTTTGGGAAACAATGGCTTGAACTATAAAAATGGCCTCTAAACTGCTCTCCTTGCCTAAACTTTCCCTTTCCAGTGCATGGAGTATTTCACTGATAGATTAATTTGTCTAAAGTACTTAACTCATTACAGTATTCCCTTGCTCAGAAACCTTCAGTGGCTCCCCATTGATCTAAGCAGTGATGAAGCACCAGGTTCCCACAACATGGTACTAATGTACCTCCCAGTGTTATTCTTTCCCCCTACATGGCAGTGTGGCATAGGAGAAAACACATGAACTTTGGAGTAAGCTCCAGGTTCTTAAAAACTATAAAACAGGCTTTGAGTCCTTTCTTTGCTCATCTGCAAGTGCACTTAGTAACTGCAGAGATGGGAGGAGGCAGCGAGATAGTATTAGTGAACGTTCTCGCATAATTGTAGCGCATACTCTCTGGCCCCATGGGTTATAGACTTACTAGGCAGGTTGAACCTCTGTCATGTTGTAGTCACCTAGTGTCTTCCTGCAGTAAGTGACCAGTGATGTTTTAAACTGAGAACGCAGAGGATCACCTGCCAGTGTCAATGAGAACTGATCAGTAAATCAGTACCTCTATTTGGGGAATTTTTTTACGGGTCCTGAAGGAGCCAGTTCCCACAGAAGGTCCAAGCTTTTTAGGTGGAATGTGCCACTGGCGCTTGGCTGGGGTGGGGGTGGGGCGCAGGGCCCAAGAATCAGCAGCGATGCTTGAAAAGCAAATCTCCAATTCAAACAGATGAAACAAAAGCCCACTGCAAGAGTCAGAAAGCTGCACTTTTATTAGATTCAGAAACTTTTTTTTTGAAAGTTTATTTATTCTGAGAGAAAGAGAGAGAGAGAGAACATGCAAGTGTGTGAGCAGGGGAGGGGGAGAGAGAGAGGGAGAGAGACAATCTCAAGCAAGCTCCATGCTGTCAGTGCAGAGCCCAATGTGGGGCTTGATCTTACGAAGCATGAGATCATGACCTGAGCAGAAATCAAGAGTTGGACGCTTAACCAACTGGGCCGTTCAGGCCTCCCAGAAACTTTTAAAAGTGCTTATAATTTACTTCAAAGTCCAACATGAAGAAAATACAAGCTCCTCAACACCCCTACCTAAGAAGGAAAAAGGAATTTTTGTTTGATTTGATCACTAGCATAGTCTAAGTGCCTCAATTGGTGTCTTGCATGTAGAGGATGCTCAGTTAATATGATGGAGGGATGGAGGGAAGGATGGAGGGATGGATGGAGGGATGAATGGATGGAGCAAGGGATGGAGGGAGGGATGGATGGAGGGATGAATGAATAGTTGGATGAATGGGTGGGTGGTGGATGAATGAATAAATGATTAAATGGATGAGGCCATGGCATGCATTTTATATACAATCTAGTAGAGCACTGAATATATAGAAGATCCTTAATAAGTAATTGGCTAAATATATCGATTGTATCCCTAACCAGATAAGGGCATTTATAAAAAATAATGTACCTTAAACTAAATATTATTCCTATATATTTCTAATTTATAAAATATTTTTATATATTATCTATATTATCATTATACTCTTTCTTTTAAAATTATCTATTCATTCATTTATTTCTCCCCTCACAACATGGGAGTGTCAGAGCTTAAAAGTGGGTGAGGAGAGAAAAATGAAATTAAGAGATTAATTAGATGTTCTTAGAAGGTTAAAAAAATTTTGCCTAAATTGGTTTGACTATGTTGAATGGAATGAAGAGAAAACAAACTTAATTTTTTTAAAAACCTGGAAGAAGATGGGGAAAAATGAGGCATAAGGTGTATAAAACGTGTTTGATAAATTTGTCTGGAAAGAATGTTATGCTTAAATGCATTCTTTTCCCTTAACATTTCACTCAAAGTTTTTATAACTATCATTCTTGTACAAGGGAATAATAGCCAAATATCTCCTTCACAGCACAGGAACCAAATCTCAGTGAAGTTAATGATCTGTATATTCAAGAGCAGGTAGATCCAGGGCTAGAATCCATGTCTTCCAAGTATTCAGGAATAAACACAATCGCCAAAGTGTAAAGTGAGCCTGACACACTTACAGAACATAAAGAGTTAGGGTGACTAGGGTATCTGGCTGGAATGAAGGGGATATATAGAAAAGTCATAGGAAATCAAATTAAGGAAATAACTATGAGATGGATTACAGAGTACCTTAAAACACAATAAAGAATCTAGATTTTTATCCATGTCAGTTATTTTTGAAATTATTTTTAAAGCAAAAAATATCCTTTTTAAAGTAAGAAACCTTATATGAGATGCCAGTATGCAAAACATCTAAAAAGGAGGTGGTTTCTCCCATTGAAACTGTTCCCTCTTTCCTGCCTCTCAGCCTCTGAGGAGAAAAGGTTGAAAATTGATAAAAGGTTTAAACCAAGGAAAGTCTGAAAAGGCATAAGTCTGACAAGTGGGCAGGGCAGTGCTAGAGCAAGTGGCATAGAGACCAGGTGGAGGAACCCACCGTGGGAGGAAGAGAGCACAGAGGCATGGTTGTCAGTGGGAAGAGGAGGCAGAGATGCCGGGGACAGAGGGAGAATCTGAACAGAGCCAAGAAAAGTTCAAAGATTCACACGTGGGCAACTGTAGAATATAATCACAAACGTGGTGAAGGAAAGCAGGAGGCTGCTGGTTTTGATGAAAGGCAATGATGTACCTTTTGTCATGTAGACATTTCTACTACGCTAGGCTACGGCCAAAGGAATAGAAAGTAACCCCTTTCTACCAGTTTTCTTCTGTTTTTCGAATAGATGAAACAAAAGTGCATGGCATGAGTCTGAAAGCTGCACTTTTTGCCATATTAACAAAAAAATTTAAGTGCTTAGCATTTCACCTGAAACTCCAACATGAAGAATATACAGAATCCCCGATGACTCACCCCATTCTACAAAGGAAAAAAAGACCATTTCCATTTTTGTAAACTTTCTGTTCTTCAGTCTGGGTAACTAGCACATTAATTTTTTTTATCTTTAAAAGCTAGTTTTTCCAGGGGCGTTAAGTACAATTTATTTCAAGCATAATTATTTTGAAATCCAAGATTTTTCTGGTGCTTCATAAACTAAATGGTAAAAGTGAAACTTGAGGAATCTGTACACCCAGGCAACCACAGTAATTCTGATGCGTATTATTTTGAGAATAAATAACAGGTTTTGGCAAGCTGCGTGTAAAAGAGGACGGTCTCCTCTTCCTCTGTGATTCTGAAACTGGTGATGCAAGCGCTCCCGCCCTTTTCTGAGAACACAGAAAACCTGACTCAGGCAGGCAGCTGCGGCTATTAAAACAGCGCCGGCCCGCACGCGTCCCTGCTGGGGTGAGGGCCACCGCCGCCGAGCAACGATGAAGCTAGCCAACTGGTGGGGGCTGAGCTCGGCTGTCCTTGCGGCTTATGGCGTTTTGGTTGTGGCGAACAATGAAACGGAGGAAGTTAAAGATGAAATGGCCAAGGATACCTGCCCGGTGAGACTAGAAAGCAGAGGGAAATGCGAGGAGGGGAGCGAATGCCCCTACCAGGTGAGCCTGCCGCCACTAACCATTCAGCTCCCGAAGCAGTTCGGCAGGATCGAGGAGGTGTTCAAGGAAGTCCAGAACCTCAAGGAAATGGTAAATAGCCTCAAGAAATCTTGCCAAGACTGCAAACTGCAAGCTGACGACAGCCGAGACCCGGGCAGAAATGGACGGCTGTTACCTAGCCCAGGAGCGCTAGGAGAAGCCGATGACAACAGAGTTCGAGAATTAGAGAGTGAGGTTAACAAGCTGTCCTCTGACCTAAAGAATGCAAAGGAGGAGATCGATGTGCTTCAGGGTCGCCTGGAGAAGCTCAACCTTGTAAATATGAACAACATAGAAAATTATGTTGACAGCAAAGTGGCAAATCTAACATTTGTAGTCAATAGTTTGGATGGCAAGTGTTCATCTAAGTGTCCCAATCAAGAAGAAATACAGTCACGTCCAGGTATGTATAATGTCTTCTTACCATCTGTTCATGAATATTATATAGCTAGACAGGATCTATAATCATTAACTTTTGCAAAGAAGTTAGACAAAGGACAGATGAAAGAAATTAAGCCTTTTATTCATCAAGGTAGTACAGGAAAAACTAATATCTTTGCAAATGTGACCACAGAAACAAGACTTAATTACAAAAATCATAATTCTGTATCCATTAGAAAGCACTTTCAATTTCAAAGATCTTGTTTGTTAATGCCAGAGCTACACACAAGCCAAAGTAGAGCGATATTATTTCTTAATATTTTACTGCATTTCACTTATCTTTCTCCTCATTGAAGTGTTTGAAGACAACACAGATAAGGCAGTATTTCCAGCTGTGCTTTGTTCATTGGAAGTCAGTTTCCTGTGGTTGGCTGACTGCTCCTCTCATGTGGCCACAGGAAATCTCTGCAAGATTTTAATTTATCTGCCAATCATAATCCCAAATATCTAGTGAAAACAGGAGATTTTATAAATGGAATAAAAGCAGCTATATGGCTTCATGTGTGTGCAAAACTTTTTGCTTTGAGTGGCACAAAAACATTTTAAGGGGAGAGTTTTGGCATGACAGAAGACCACAAACTTAGTTACCTACTGTGCCCACAAACTTCTAGCTGTGGCACTGGTTCCTCCAAGTGCTGGCTTTCCACCTGATTCACTGCTGCTGATGGTCTTGTTACACTTTGGAAAGCCATCTCTGCATTAGGACCTCCACTTACCATGCATGTAAGGTTGAAGGGATGTGGTGCCTGGATGGAGATCACATTCATTTGGAACAAGCACCTCATGTGTGCTCCATCCCCAAGGAATCTGCTAGGGATCTGAAGGTGGGGCTTTCAAGAACCACTGTTGCTAATACTCCTGTCAGCCCGTATCTGAACATACCCTGAATGGCAAGGCAGAAGTTCACATCTTAGGTGACATCCCTGGGTGCACACTAGATTTGCTGCTGCATGGCAGCTTGTAATGATATGAACAAAATTCTACCGTCTATTTTTATACTAAGAGTTTAGGGGAAATGTTGAAATACTTTGAGTTCTAAATACACATGAACAGATTTTGTTTTGATTTGAGTAGTAACTTACTTTATCTGGCCCAAATCCTTATAAAAATTATCTAAGAGTAAATACCTGTATTTGATTCCTACAGAACCATCCTGAACATAACCACCTGTTGTTCTTTTCTAGAAACCAAACATGTGAAACACTGGCTAAATACGTTCCAGATAATAAATTCAGAATAAGAATGTTGGTATAGAGAGTATGATGCTAAGTGAAATAAGTTAGTCAAATAAAGACAAATACCATATGATCTCACTTATATGTAGAATTTAAGCAACAACAGATGAACATAGGGGAAGGGAAGGAAAAATATAAGGCAAAAAGAGAGAGGGAGGCAAACCATAAGTTCTCTCTTAACTGCAGAGAACAAACTGAGGGTTGCTGGAGGGGAGGTGGGGAGATGGGCTAAATGAGTGCTGGGCATTAAGGAGGGTACATGTTGTGATGAGCACTGGGTGTTGTGTGTAAGCGATGACTCACTAAATTCTGCAGAAACCAAACTACACTATACATTAACTAACTTGAATTTAAATAAAATACTGGAAAGAGAAAAGTGTTTGCAAACGTATGTGTGGAAGCATTAAAAAAAGGATATTGGTATATTATTGAAAAAAATCTTTTTTTACTTGAGCTTCTTAATTTAGTTGTCAAGAAAGTAAAATAAATATGAATTTATGATCAAGTCTGTACATTAGAATTTTAATGCATAATTTGGAACATATCCTATAAAACTTTCTGGCAGAAGAGGATATCAGCCCCGTTAGGTGAAAGGAAATAGAAACTCTGCTTCTTCTGTAAACATGGAATGCAGTTCTAGAAGGGTTGGAAGCATCTGACCTTTATGACCAAGGAATGCAGTAGTTACAAGAACAAGCTTTACAGCCAGCCAGATCTCAGTACATGTCTTGGCTTTACCACTTAATGCTTCTGTGAAGTTGACCAAGCCACTGGTTCTCTTTGACCCTAACTAAGTATCCTCACCTGCAGACTGGAAATAATACCTACATCATAAGGTCAACGTGCAGACTAGGTGTGAAAATGTTATCAAGTCTTTGGCAGAATGCCCAGAACACATAAGTAGCACTCACTAAGTATTACTAAATTACCAAAACCATTTTATTGACTTCGTTGTTGTTTTTTGTGAACATTGTTACTATTATTACCAACCAAGAGTATGTTGGAGAGCCTTGTCTGCTTTATAGCACCAAGTTCTTATTCTGAGGCTTTAATAAACATTTGCTAAACAGGTTCAAGTAAGTTTTGCAGAACAAGGTTTCATGAACACCACTGACTAAATTATCAAACTGCTTTTGTACATATAAAGAATTCTTCATATGCATCATATTTAGTAACAAAATCCAATGTCTTTCTCTTCTTCCCCCTTCAGTTCAACATCTAATATATAAAGATTGCTCTGACTACTACACAATAGGCAAAAGAAGCAGTGAGACCTACAGAGTCACACCGGATCCCAAAAACAGTAGCTTCGAAGTTTATTGTGACATGGAGACCATGGGGGGAGGCTGGACAGTGCTGCAGGCACGTCTCGATGGAAGTACCAACTTCACCAGAACATGGCAAGACTACAAAGTAGGCTTTGGGAACCTCAGAAGAGAATTTTGGCTGGGGAACGATAAAATTCATCTTTTGACCAAAAGTAAAGAAATGATTCTAAGAATTGATCTTGAAGACTTTAATGGTGTCAAACTCTATGCCTTGTATGATCAATTTTACGTGGCCAACGAGTTTCTCAAATACCGTTTGCACATCGGTAATTATAACGGCACAGCTGGAGATGCCTTACATTTCAGTAAACATTACAACCATGATCTGAAGTATTTCACCACCCCAGATAGAGACAATGATCGGTATCCCTCTGGGAACTGTGGGCTCTATTACAGTTCAGGCTGGTGGTTTGATGCATGTCTTTCTGCAAACTTAAATGGCAAATATTATCACCAAAAATATAGAGGTGTCCGTAATGGGATTTTCTGGGGCACCTGGCCTGGTATAACTGAGGCACACCCTGGTGGCTACAAGTCCTCCTTCAAAGAGGCTAAAATGATGATGAGACCCAAGCACTTTAAGCCATAAATCACTAAACTCATTCCTCTGGGTATTTATTACCTAATACGGCAATTAATTCCTTGAGCACTTTGGAATATGTTTTATACTCCTTTACTATGACTAAAAATTTATCTCTAGGAATAGGTTCTTATGCTACACAGCATTTGAAATAAAGCGGAAAAAGCACACATTTTATAGGCGTCTTTTGTTGCTGTTATACTGTTATACAGATGAATATTTGCAAAGCAATTGGGAGTGTTGAGAATTACACATTAGATTTATGATTCCCTTAATTTCTATTAATTGAAAGATTTTCTATTTACTTATGTTACTTGCTATAATTATGAAATCATTGTTTATTTAGCAGGCTGGATTTTTACACAAGTAATCTGTATTTTGATTGTGACTTAAATACCTTTTTTTCAGGCTATAGTCAGTTATTGGCTATTTATGTCTCTAAATACTTTAATCCTCATTCTGAGATAAACCTTCTCAATTTATGGCATTTCTTTTGGGTCAGGAAGACCCTACAGCATTTTAGCTCCCAGACAAAGGGAAATACATGTAATTAAACCTGTTCATGTACTATTTGTGAAATGTAAAATATTTGTCATTTAAAATATTTTGGTGGTAGCATAATGTCACTCCTAAAAGCATTCAGAAAATTAATTCAACCTTAAAGACCATGATTTAAAGGTTATTAATTCACAGTTGATAACTCTTTAGGTGTGGATGGTTAAAACTGCTTTACTATAAAAATTAGCTTCCTTTGCTTTGATTGCACAACAGTTTTTAATTTAAGATTGCTCATTACTGTGCATGACTACTGGTAGGCTTTCTTTTGGAAGGGTAGGTGTGGGTGGGGAATGAAGCATTTATTTATAGACTAGATTACTCTGAGGGCCAAAGCATTTATATCCAAAGCAATATTTTCATTAAGTGATTCACTTCATAGAAAGCTAAGTTTTATAAGACATATGTATTTTGATATATATAGAATAGTAGTTCAAATATTATGTATATCTCAACCCTAACTGGTGTATTGCTTATATTTTTATCAGAAAATTTAAATACAGGTGTTTATTTTTTTTTAACCAAACTAAAATATATGAAGCTTTTATAATTCACTAATTCTGGAGTGCAGACCATTTTTTAAAGATTATTAAAAAAATAGTGTGTTAAATTTAATCATAGTAAAAAAGGGATCATTTCAGAGAGAACAGTGGTATTCTGTTGAACATTTAAAATATACCCTAGAATAAAATTTGAAACAATACACTATACTGTATGTGAGTCATAGAAATGTATTCAGTCTTTAATTTCTAGTTTGTTTCTACCACAGTAACTCAAAATATACTCAAAAAGATGCAACTTTACTCATAATTTGAAAATAATTAAGAAGGATAGTAGCTTTAGGAAACAAAGTAACTTTTTCAAATATTGCCCTTTATAGAAAATTCTAACCAAAAAGAAGCAAGATACTCTTAAAAATACGTGACATACAAAGTTTTCAGGTACACATGATGAAAATTAAGTTATTATGAATACTATTAAAGTATTAAGGCAAGAGAAATGCAAAGAGAATTGTGACAGCCAAAATACAAAATATCATGGTACATTTCAAAAGCTTCATATCTACTCAATAGTATAACAGATGTAAATGTAACTGATTTACACTTTTATTCTTTTTTGTTTTTTTAAAAAAAGATTAAGAAGATTTTTATTTTATACAATGTATTTATTTCACATAAGAGAATTTTCATTTACTATCTGTAATTGTTGATATATGCATAAGTTTAAGTCAATTCCCATGATCAAAAATGGACTCATGAAGCAGGATCTGATCTTCTCAAACTTCTATTTCTCACACTGAAAAAAGGAAAATATACGGACTCTGCGCAAAACACAGTTCTGAAGAAAAATAGCTCATAAAGTGAGTATCCACTGATATAATGGGAATGAGATTATCATTTCAGAAGATTTGCCAAATAATCCATTAATCCATGTAAATACTCAAAAGCTGCCTTTTATCTTTCCACTTATTTCAAAGGATCAAATTTTATTTTCTATTATACTTTTATGACACTTTTCCAATAAAAAATTCTGTGACATAGAAATTCCTTCTTGAAATCATTTCATGTCATTTATAAAATATATTTTATACTTTATCATTTCATGTCATTTATAAAATATATTTTATACTTTGCTAATCTTTAACATGTTGATGGAAATAGATTATATCTGAAAGAGCGTTTTGCTTTAACATATTTATTCACTAATATGTGCTAATGTTCACAAATGTGGATTGATTATTAACAAATTGGTTCCATTTTAAAGGCTAATATTTGTTATCTTAATAAGACTTTATTTCTAAACTTTATCATTCTTTGAAAATGTTGACTAAAACTAGTCCTTAGAAATTCCAACTGAGGGGCACCTCGGTGGCTCAGTTGGTTGAGCCTCCGACTTCCGCTCAGGTCATGATCTCCTGGTCCGTGAGTTCAAGCCCTGTGTCGGGCTCTGTGCTGACAGCTCAGAGCCTGGAACCTGCTTTGGATTCTGTGTCTCCCTTTCTGTCTCTGCCCCTCCCCTGCTTGTGCTCTCTCTCTCTCTCTCTCTCTCAAAAATACATAAACCTTAAAAAAAAAAAGAATATAAAGTGAAAATAGAAGTCCTTAAAAAAAAAAGATATTCCAAGTGAAACTGATCCACTCATTGCTAAGAAGAAAAATCAGATTTTTCCTATAGGCAGTAACGCTTCAAATGAATGAATGACACATCTGTCCAATAAAGAGCTTAAATATACAAAGTATAAAAGATACTCTAGTAACAAAATTTGCTGGTCCTTATTTTTGAGTGGCTACCCAGGGAAAGGTTTTAAAAGTAAAAGTGATGGGTAATGTCATCATGATAAGCTTTTATTTAGAGTTCTTCTTTTCTCTTATGTATAAATAAGTTTATGTCTCATGTCTTTTAACCACCCTATAAAATAAAAGATTTAATCTTCACATCTATTTATTTCTGCAATATGGAAACATTAAATATTGTTAGTAAAATAATATTTATATATTTACTCTTGTCTGAAAAGTTGCATAATGTTCACCTAACTAGACTTTACCTTTGACTCTTTTTGAAGACTTTAATGAGTTCTATTTCATTAACAGGAAGACCATTATCTCACTTCCCTCCAGCATACTGTTGACACCTTTGAAATACAAAAGCTTCCGTTTTGTTTTGCAGCATTTAGCTCCATCTTTTTCCATCATTAACATTCCTGCTGGCTCAGCCCTCATCAACTCCTTTGGATAATGCAAATGCTTTCTCAGAGTAACCCATGCATCCAGTTTCCATCTATTCCAACCCACCCTCCATTTCACTGTCAGAGAGACTATTTAAAAATACAGTTGTTATCATATTATTGCCCTGCTTAAAACCTTCCAACAACTGCTCATTTCCTATATGATAAATCCAGCAAATAAACCCCCTGTTCTTGCACAATCCCCACATTCCCTGAAGTTTTCATTATTCTGTGTATACTGTTCCCTTGGTCTAGATAGAAGGCCATCCTCTACCAGAGTTTTGTCTTCTTACTGCTCGTGATCTAGAGCAGGGACTCAGAAGCTGGACTTGTTAGGTTTGAATTTCAGCTCTACCATCTGCAAGCTGTGGGATCACAAACACAGTCACTTAATCTCACAGTCCTTTGGTTCTTTCAGTTATAAAATGATAACAGTAGGGGCACCTGTGTGGCTCAGTCCATTGTTAAGCATCTGACCTCGGCTCAGGTCACGATCTCCCAGTTGGTGAGTTCGAGCCCCGTGTTGAGTTCTGTGCTGACAGCTTGGAGCCTGGAGCCTGCTTCAGATTCTGCATCTCCCTCTCTCTCTGCCCCTCCCCCACTGTTCTCTCTCTCTCTCTCTCTCTCTCTCTCTCTCTCTCTCTCTCTCAAAAATAAATAAAAACATTTAATAAACAAAATTTTTAAATGGATAACAGTAGAATCTGCCCAATAGAGTTATTGAGAGGATAACATATGAAGCACCTAGAACATATATATGTATCACCTTCTCCCCATCCTCCTCTCCCTTCTCCTAAATAGTTATCTCTTTTGGGCATTCTGTTCTGGTAACATTAGGAGGGGGTTGGTACCCCTCTTCTTCGGTCCTGTACCATCCTATATATTCCTTATTATATGTACATTATTCAACAATTGTCTGGGTTCTACCTTGAAATCAATCTGTTTGGCTAGGATGTAAAGCCAATTTGTGACAGTGTTGTTATTCAAAGTGGTTCATAAATATGTTACCAAAGAGAGCTGTAGTCTGAGGAAGCTGGAGTTATAACTGGGGAAGGAGCAGATACTGTCAAATCTGAGGATTTGGGAGATTGTGAACACAGGTGAGAAGTGGTTGAAGCCAGGGGGAAAGTTGGCAAGAGAGGATCAGATATACTATAGACTGGGTACATACATACGCTGGCAAACCTCTAATTTAGAAGGGGTTCTGGGACTGTGCCTCTGGGTCCATACCACGCATGGCAGTACCAGAACAGACCGTGATTGTTCTACCCGTGTTCCTAAAGAAAAAAAAGTGTTTTTTTCATACTTCTTATACCATATTATAATTTTGAAATTAATTTTAATCATACCAAATTCATGAATGGTTTAATTTAAAAAAATTACAATGAGACTAAAGACCCCTTTCTAGACCACCTTTAATTGCAATCTCCTCCCTCTCCCCAGAGGTGACAAGAGAGTTGGCTGAATCCCAACTAATTTCATCCTGTGTCTTGCCAAAATGCAATGTCTACTGAATCGTATTTATGCCAGGTTTCTTTTGTTTACTGATTGGGAAGAGTTGGAAGTGAGAATAGAAATGAGGGAAATTGGGTATACTTGGAGAACTCACTCCCCTGAATTCCCAAATGTGAATGAGCCACCTTTGCTCCTTGAAGTGGCCCCTCTCCCCACACTGAGGAGGCTCATCCTGTTGCAAGAGTGTTGCTTTCTCTTCTAAGGAAGAGATCTTATTCTCCGTGAGGCTCCTTCATCCCACTCCTCAGCCTCTCCAGACCTGTAACCAGGGCATACTCTCATGTAAATTATGATGTCAAATTGGAGGAGAAGCCTTTATACAAATTTGCGAATTTTTATCAGCAGAAAGCTGGGGAATACATGTGGGGACAGATTTTGAGGTTGCTTGACTAAGGAAGCAAAAAACAGAATTTCAGATGAGACCGGATCTATTGACATGGGTATATTTACCAGAAGTTCTGGATTCTGTGGGCTAGCTTGAGCAGAGGTGTTTGCTTCTAATAGTTCATTTGATTAGTTAACGAAAACCTAGTTTCGACAGCAGCTCATGCTAACTAAAAAAAGAAGCCAGAAATGTCTTGGAAAGTAAAGCCTTGTGGAGATAGAAATGTTGAAGTGGATTCAGGTGTAATTCATTCAAAAAAGCATTTACTGGGGCGCCTGGGTAGCTCAGTCGGTTAAGCATCCGACTTCAGCTCAGGTCACGATCTCACGGTCCGTGAGTTCGAGCCCCTCGTCGGGCTCTGGGCTGATGGCTCAGAGCCTGGAGCCTGCTTCCGGTTCTGTGTCTCCCTCTCTCTCTGCCCCTCCCCCGTTCATGCTCTGTCTCTCTCTGTCTCAAAAATAAATAAACGTTAAAAAAAAAAAAAAGCATTTACTGAGTGTATACCATGTGTTTTAGGAAGTCAGAGATACATCAGTTACCAAAACCCTGTAGTCAGGGAGTTTATATCTTATCAGAGGAGATGAATAAATAAACAATATATTAAAATGCCATAAAAATTAAACAGGATAAGGGATATAAGGAGTATGAGAGGAAGGATTCTATTTTACATAGGCAGTCTGGGGAGACCTCCCTGAAGAGGTGACATTTGAACAGTCTTAAAGATATGAGAGAATGAGCCAGACAGATAGCTGGGAGAAGATATCCAGGCCAAAGGAGCATCAGGTGCAAAGGTGCTTGGCCTGTTTTAGGGTCCGCCAGGAGGCCAGTGTAGGAAAAGCAGACAGTCTAAGACGGAGGGGGATTGGAAGATGAGATCAGAGGAGCTGGGGAGCTGGGGTGGTGTGGCAGCTGCCAGACCATCTAGACCTTAAAAGTCATGGTAAGAATTCTGCCTTTTCCTCCACATAGGTAAAAGCCCTAAGGGTTTTGACTAGAGGAGGTACATGATCTCACCCACTTTGAAAAGGGCCACTCTGGTTGTTAAGTGGAGAATACGACTGAATCACAAACAGTCATCTGACAGTGTTTGCAATGATCTTGGAGAGAGATGTGCACCACGGAGGTTGCAGGGCAGTAAGTCCTGCAGGCAAAGCTGACAGAATTTGCTGACCAGAGATCGGTGGGGGCGGGGGT